AAAATGAGTACATTACAGTAAAACATAAAACACTTATGGTTCAGTATGAGTACCACAATAAATGAAATGGCCATAAGAATAATACCCACATTCCAGTTGCCAGTTATTATCCCTTTAATTAAAGACATACAGTAGGAAGAATTGTATATAAAATGTCCCATCAAACATATGAATGTTTTTGTGCTTGTATTTATGCTATAATTTCTGTTGTAAACCTTATCCACATACAGTACACTGTACCTGTAGATTTAAACAAACACTCAGTGGTATGTCTGTATATTTTTTTCACAAAGATTTTTTTCCTCAAACGATCAGTGAAACTAAGAAAGCTTATTAAAGCAAATTGATTCAGTTTAAACGTAGTGCTAATAAGCTTAGATACTGAAACATGAAAAAATGTATATTATTATGAATACTGTACATATATAATCACATATCACTCTTTCCAAAATTCCTTGGTTGTGAGTTTAGAATGTCAAAAGTTAGAATTCTGAGCTCAAACTGATTCCAAGCATTATGGTTTTATATCATTTGTACAGTACATTAATTATTTGCTCATCCAGATGCACATGTACAGTAACAGGGCTCACTTGGCATTGGATAACATCAAATTCTCCTGTGGGTAGAAGCCTGGTATTTTGGCCTTATTCTTTGAGGAGTGGTTATGTGTGACTCTGGAGTCAGAGTTGCCCATGAGTGGGCCAGAGAACACTTAAAGTATCACAATTTTGCCACGACTTAGATCACAGACACTGATACCCATTAGCTGCTACTGTACGGAAGAGATGGAGGAATTAGTGGGGTAGAACATAACAGATCACTGTGTGGCTCTATAGCAAGCTGGAAATGCTCAAGAGCAGGCAAGTTCAAATTCCTGTGGGAGCAGAGCTTCACTCAACACAGAGTTAAATCTGAACTGGGTAAAATTTCAAGATTTTCAAGTTGGATTATTGGATTGAAAACCCAAGGGGTATGATATTCCACTTTGAACTTCAATCTCTTGGGCCAGAAAGGAATGTTTGATGTCCGCCAAGACAAGCAAACAGTTTATTGGATATTAAAATTCTGGATTACCTGGATGATGATTTGTTCTTTATACTATATAGAAGGAGAAGGGCGTATTTTCATGTAATACAGTATGTAAAAATAACTACTATTTGTTTATAATAAGAAAAACCTAATGTTTATTTTCATTCTGAAGTTTGCCAAAAGGCCTAAGACAAGTAATCTTTATTGCACTACCTTGCTGATAGCCACATGGGTCACAAGTCAAATAGATCATATATTTTTATGGTAATGCTTTCCTCTGCAGAAAACAAATACTGTACATATTTGTGCAGTGTACACACAGTATACAGACATTTGTATGTACTGTATTTACATATGCTTGGTCTTATGGGAAATAGGAAAATAATTAAAAGATTTAAGAAACCTGGTGGTACTATTGTACACAAGGGTTGTGGGAATATACCTGACCAGATTTCTGAAAAAATTTCCCTGGGACCATTTGAGGTACAACTGGACAAGATCTCTGGATCATTAAGAAACTAGCAACCAAAACTAGCAACAATTACAAAATGGCTTCTTCTCATTTTAACTTTTTGATTTTATTAACGTTTAATCACTTTCCTGCATGGTCCAGTAGCAATTTGTCGTGACGGGGTTACAATTAGGCACGAAAAGTCGATGTTTGTGAAAAAAGTGAAAGCAATGCTCAAACAGGATAGGAGCAACATCAAAAATTGGTAGACTATCAAAAAGTAGTAGACATAAACAGTCATTAAATATCAGATTGTAGTGATTTTTTATTTTTTAAAATATTCTTTTTCATTACAAATTTTGGTGGGAATTGACCATATTGGCATATACTTAATTTTATACATATACAGTAGCAGATTTTAACAGATGCCAACATTTTTAATGCATGCATCAAACATTAGGATAATAAATATTGGTGGGCAGGATATCAATAAAGCCTGTTTTTCTTAATTAAAGCTCTCTCTTTGTCTCTCAGTCTCCATACTTTCTAATATTCCTTTTTCACACAGGTAAATATTTCTGGAAGGATTCCCTCATGTTCAACCAAAACTGTTTTACCCATCTGAAACAAAAAGAACCAGCTACTAATGCTGGAGTTGGTTTTCACAAGACTAAGTATTCATTTCATTTAATTAGGATTGTTTACAAAGCAATCTGCAAAAGGACAAAGATTTATACTATAAGTGACCATATTCAAAAACATAATCAGTGTTGCAAGACAAACCACATCTTGTTATATTTTAGACAGAAATGACAAACCACAATCTAATTTCTTTTTAGAAATATATAAAATTAAACCTTTATGTTACTAAGTGTTAGTTCATATATGTTTTTCTGTAGAGTTCAGACATTTAATTGCCAAACATACTAGAAATGTGGCAAATATTTATGCTTAGAAACACTTAATCATAAATTCATATTAGTCTTTACACCATGACAAATAATATTATTTTTGTTTATTCTTTTGTTCCTTTATGTTGACTTAAAATATCTGCTTACAGTTTAGGTAAAGAATCATTAAATTGATAAAGTGCATTTTTTATCACTTTTAGTTTAGTTATCTGTGTGATCACTTCTACAGAACCCTTTGATGTTGCTAGAAAAATTAAAACTTACTGTAGTTTTTCATTAGTATTTCATCTTGCATTTCCAGATACAGTACGAATGTGGCGTGTATTCCGTTTTGTACAGCTGAAAAAAGAAAAGAAGTAACGAATTCTCTTGAAATAGATAACATTCAAAAAATCATAAACACAGATCCTTGTGAGAATTTAACAGCTGCATATTTCTCACAGAGGGACAGGATTGTAAAATGTCACACCTCTGTTTGGTATCGTGGGTGTTTTTTTTTTTTAATTGCGGAAACGACTATAAATCATAATGTTACCAGCTAATTTAGACATTTTGGTACCCCACGCCTTGTGCCATGTCAAGTGATTCTGGCAAGGTTAAATAATTAACAGGCAGCTGTCACCATAGCAACCGAAATTACTGTGCGGGAGGGAGAGGCCGATGAGATAGGCAGGAAACCTAATCTTCTATATTCAGGCTGCGTTAGGATTGGACACAATGGAGTAACAGCTGCGATATACAGTTTTAGGCAAATGCTGTGTCCCTAAAAGGAATGCAACGCTGCGCACGAATGCATTTCCAAATGCATTTTCAAAAGCGTAAATGTGTTTTGCACATTTATTTTAAAGGTACATTTTTATATTAAACGACACTTAGTGCTTTTTTATTGGACTTGTTTTAGTTCGTCCGAAGAGAGGTCCGTGCGTCCTTTATAATAAACACCGAGTAAGAACAGATTACTGTTTTGCTCTTTTAAAATAAAACGCTGCAGTTTTGGTCTTTCGTAACTGGTACTGTGGAAGGGATATTTTTGTAAGGAGAGGTCGATTGCTAAAGGTGGACCAACTGGGTATAGTGCTGAATTTCGATTTGAGGTTTCTTTTAGCAACTGAGAATCAGACGAATTCTCACTGAGGTAAGAAGAAAACAGCGAACTGTTGAAGACCAGGATCGAACATCTGGATTTTCTGTCTCTAGCCAAAGTCATGGGCAATAGTGTCTCGAGTATCCCGACTTTGCAAAGAGGACACCCTAACAGATTTCACAGACTTCCGAGCTCCCAAAAAGGTAAGTGGATATGAGTTTATTTTCGTACAGTAGGTATATCGAATACTTTATTTATTTATTCCTTGGGTATGGTGTCATGAATAAAGATGTTTTAAACTAGTCAATATTAGTTACAATAACTTTTGGTATTATTCTAAACATACAGACAAATGTTTACATTTGATATATTTTCTGGTCTATATTTTTCCGATCAAGAAGGGCAGGGGACTATAGGTACAGTGTATTTTTTTAATGAAATACCATATATTGAATTATGATTATGAATAGTAAAGCTTCACTCAAAAATAAATACTTAAAATAACTTTAAAAATTACGAATCAGCCACATTACAGTGAACAGACGTCATCAAGAGACGGTACAAAAACGGTTTCTTACAGTATGTATGAAATCTTTATATTCACTGTAGATGATAATATATTCAAAGGCTGTTTATTACTGTACATAGATTGGTCTGTGAGAGATACAGTAAATCCAGCGTAATCCTAGTATTTACTTCTTTGTCATTGCAGTCATCCAGGCGAGTGTCCGTGGTGCTGAAAGGACAGCGCCCCGTAGTTACATTTCAGGGCATACCAGAGGCAAAAGTTTGTCAAGTTTACTGCAGTTTTATTTCTACTTACCACACTTCTAAAGTCTGATTATCAAATACATCATAGCTGTTTATGCGTTCAATTAAATGTGTATTAATTAGTGGAGCACTAACATCTACAGGCTGCAGTATTGTGAAAAAACTAATGAATGTCGTTCTAAAGTAACTTAAAGTAACAGTGTCATTATCTTCAACACTTAATTTTAGTTTTCTATCTGATAACTATACCGTAATTCAACAGAGAATTTGCTATAATAAAGGCTCATTTGGGAGAGACACACCTGAAGTGTAAATTTACCATTGCAAGGATTTTTATGATCAATCCTATAAAGCATAAAATACAGTACCAACTTAAGCCCTTTATTTATATTCTGGTAGTATTTGTGTTTCCCTGATTCCCTTTTTTGTTGCTTGGACCCAGATGTAATTAGCATTGAAATGAGGACCATTTGCTTTTGGGGGTGTTCTTTCTTTTTATGATAAAAAATCATTTAAAAATAGTTCAAACTTTGTTTCAGATGTTAATTCATTTAAATGAGGCAGAAGTTTCCATTTGGGTATTTTTACTATTGCTTAACATATTTCTAGTCATATCTATCAAAACCTACATCTAAGCACTTATTTGTTTGTCTGACAAAGAAAATCTATGAATGTGAATGCCTTATTTACATCGTAAATCCTTAAAGTAACCTTCCTCCTGCATTGAAAAAAATTACAGTATTTACAGTAAAATATCAGATTGTGTAAGATGTATAATCTTTACTTTAAAGATCTACATAAAACAATTTCTTTAGATAGAGGTCTTATACAATTACATAAAAATGATACTTTATGTAAAATATTTAGCAGTCCAAAAAGGCCTGTATGGCAATCAAATCTTATCATCTGTGTCAAATTATTTTCCATACCCCTTTATAACTAATTATATTCAATACAGCTTCTTTTTCTGAAGAACAAATTTACAGATAACAGTAGACCACTGAGAACATTTTTCTGTAATGGTGGACATGTTCTGAGATAGCAACTAAGATAACTACAGGGTGTGAAAATGCATGTCTAACTCTGGAAAAGAACATCTCACATACAGTAGCAGTGAAGTTAATTTCTCAAAGACATTTCCAGGTGGAGTAATACACTGTCATTCCAAGAGAAGAGCTCCAGTCTTTTTTGATAAGAATGATTTATTAATGCTTAAAATAACCATAAAATTTACCTTAAAAGAATAAGAGATTTGTTTTGTTTTTTCAGGGAGAATACGTATGAAATTCCATATATTTCTGTTATACTTGTTCATTTTCTTGACTATTTTTATATTCATACTAGAGCTACTTGTTCTCACATAGTTTCAAAGTTATTTATGTAGGAAAGTAGGGCAAACAAATAACTTTCAAGATATTCTTTTTAAGCAAGAAGACAATATTAGGGCAACGTGTATCGATGTAAGCTAGGCTGATGTACAGTATTTAACTAAATAAAGGCACACAGAGAAAAACAAATTAAGTTTAAAAATGTTAAAGAAAAAGTGTTATTTTTTTCAAAATCACTTTCTATGCAATCAAAAGACTTCTAATCACCATTGCTTGAAGTTTGATGTTGCACATTAGATTATATTTATACACTTTTATTACAAATTATATTCAATGCCATCTTAAAATAAAATTAATTTTATAAGTTATTAAAAATAAATTAAAGCACTTTAATGTATTAAATATGTTATGTTTTTACTGAAACAGACAATATAATATTCAACATCTTAGAACTACACTATGCTAAAAAGACTATCTTTTTTCTTTGAAAGATTTCTGGGTGGAGGCAGAAGATTAACAATACACACTTCCTTAACAGCTAATTTTGTTTGAATGGTGTAACAAATGCTCACGAAGAAACTTGAATTATATTGTTTTAATTAGTGAGATTATGGGGTGGTGGTGGAGTCATTTTCTTGTCCTTAAATCATACATACTGTTCAAGGTTGTACAATATTTAGATATTTTATGCAAAAAAAAACACCTATAATATAAAAACACCTAAATACTATGGCATGAATAGACCCAGATATGATCATCCTGTACCCCTATTTCCATTCAATTGTACGATTGCCATGATTTATTCCTCTGCAGCTGAGGATTTTTTTCCAATAAAAAGAGAGCTTCAAGGGCAACTCATGTCAGCATGAACTGGATGCTTTAGTTTCAGCTTCATAATGTGTGATCCCTAATTAATCCACAAATGCTTAACACTCTTCCACAATACTGTCCATCAAGACAATTGTTTTTTGAGAATACCTTTAAATAGGATAAAAACATACTGAAAATAGCCATCTAAGGTATAAACTGGCAAATACTGTACAGTACATACTCACCGCACATGGACTGTTCAGGGGTCTGAACAAAAGTTGGATCTACTGAATGATCTTGAAGAAAAGGAGTAACTAGAAAAATACCACCTGAAACTGAAAATAGAAGAACAGACGTCAGCTATACTTAGTGGCCAAGACACAGGCATTTACGTGTGTTTCTCCATTCCAGTAAATAGTAGTAGCACGTTGGCATCATGATGACAGCAATTACAGTAGCTCATGATTCGGCTAGTGAATCACAATTCAAACTCCTACACTCTTGAATAGCTATATTTAGTGATTTCAGAAATTTTGCGTCTTTTATTAACACGTTTGTGACGTTCATGTCATGAAAGCATTCTTTCAGGACCCTATGCAGACAACACAATCCAGGGGGGAGTGAGGAAAACACGGGGAAAAAAGCATGCAGAGGAGCTGGAAGGAAAACTGGGGGCATGTCCATGGTGCACTGGTGTTCTGGGGGGTGAGTCCAAGGCAAACAGTCCAAAGAGTGTCCATAGGGAAATCCTTGACAAGGCAAATGTCCAGAGCCGGGTGGTCCATCCAAGACGAAGACAAACAGAGTTAAAAACCGGAGCGCGATCCAGTGGAGGGTCAGGGGGAAAAAAGGGGAACAGGACCAGGTGCTCCAGGTCCCGGAATCGGCTGGTACTGGAAACTAATGCAGAGCCCGGAACAGAGTGAGCTTAAGAAGGGAGGCAGGAACCCGGAGCAGGTGCATTTGAAAGAGCCTGAGCGCCCTTAAGGGGGAGGGGCTACAATTGTGACAGTTCATAAATACCTAAGCAACTTTTCTTCAATGTTAGGCAAAGAGGAGAGATAAAATGACCTTTGAAAAGTTTCATCTGAATTTCAACATACCCCAAGCAGATTATGTAGACCTTCCTCATCTTCATTGATTTTTAAAATGGAACAATTTGCTTTTACCAAGTAAGAGCACAGAGCACACATTTTATGGCAAATTTAATATTGTAGACTACAAATAATAACAAAAGCAAATGCAGGCAGCTAATAAATGTAAAATCATAAATCAGAGCCAAAACTTTCTTACAGAAGAAAACATGAAATTAATGAAGGATACTTATTTTTAATTAATATAGCCTTTGCCCTCCTTCTATTAGTTAATATATTGCATTTGTAGCTACAGTATGTACAGTAGGACTACCCATGTACATTGTTCTGTATTTGTGCTTATTTCATATTACATTATGTGCTTTCAGAGCTTTTCCCTCAGATTTATTTCCCTTGGATGTATGGATTTGCAAAGTGGATAATCCAAGCCACCAAAATTAAATTATAAAAACCCAGAATGGAATCTCAAAAAAGAGTGATTACAGTGCATGATTTTCTTTATCTTTATATAACTCCATTACATTTCCACATAATGCTACCATATATTAAATAGCTTCCAGGGACATTTTAAGTGAACTAGGCAATGTCTTATAATATCTCTATAATAATAATCTGCTACAGTATATACAGGTATTTAAGGATAGACTTTGTTTTGGATTACTTACAATTTATGTACTATAGCTATTATAGCATAAAGAATTATCCCCACAGGGAGAAAAACAGACCCTTTTCCTAATGGGTATCCTATTCCTACAAAAGGTTGGGATGACCGGCTGGCTGAGTCCTCTGTAATAATGAGAACTACAGAGAAAATACTATTTTACAGTACTTTACATCTTGTTAATAAATGCTCAAAGAAAAGGATGCTTTTATTTGGATTGATTGGTATTTTGGTAGAAGACTGGTCACCAAATGGGAGGAACAAAGTGTAATTACAGAAGTCAGGGACATACTGTACAAGAATCACTAAGGCAGAGATGGCCCTGAAAATAAAAGCTATCGGAAATTATCACTCTCTGCAAATTAATGAAAGAATGTATACATTTTAATCTAAGGCCAAGAAGCAGATTTTTTTTTTCACTTTTTCTGTTATAAATATACACTGACAATTTAAAGAAAGGCTGCATTCATGCAGTATATGTATCACTAAAAAGGAGAGATGCCAGCATTTGACACACACTAAAACATAACAAGAAATGA